AAAAGCTTTTTGCTTTTTTTTGATTGGTTCTCTTTATCAACTTTCATATTGAGTATAATGAGTTGGTGGCCTAGTAACTTCCATAGGGTAGCAAGATTTTTTTAGTGTCATTATGAATTAATGGGTTTATAGACCTGTGTGTTTAAAGCCCCTTTGAGGGAGATTTAAATTTGCATTCAATAAGGATTAAGAAAGCAAGAGTGAAAAGTATTAAAAGCTGATTTTGACTATCATATGTTTATAATACCTGAAGTCTTTTATAATAAATTAAACAAAAATTAACAGTTTGAGTTGGTTGTAGTAGCCAGTAATGAAGCTGTAGGTTTTGTGTTTACAATCAGTAAATTCATTTTGTTTGGAACAGGGTTATAATAGAACTCTGTGTTAAGGGAAGCTTGCCAGACAGGGTGTGGTCCTAACCTTAAAGCAACTGGACTTACCAAATAGGTGCCAAATTTGGGAGCACTGAAATAGAATTATACTTTTGCTATGTTAATGGGGCTACAGTGTTCTTTGTTGGAGTCTAGCAAACAGCTGTGGTGAAGAAGATTCCCAGGGAATATGGAAATGAGACTTCAGGAATAATTAGTTGCCTGGCATATACCTGTTATGTATCTCTTGCACTATACTTAGACTATAATGAAGATAATGTTTACTGAATAAAATTTATATGCCAGGCATTCTGCACATACCATATGCATCTCATCTTCACAAAAACTCTAGAGTTTGGTGTTATTTTTTATACCCATTTTACAGAATGAGGAAACTGTAACTTATACCTACTTTGCAGAAGGAAGAGATTGACACCAAGTAAGTAACTTGTCCAGAGTCACAGTGCAGAAGATTCAAACCCAAGAGGTCTGACTGCAGCGCCTGTGGTCTTAACTGTTTTGCCTGTGCTGCTGTTTTACCCTAAATCTGAAGCTTAGTTTGATGACGAGAGGTTAGGAACCTTATGGATGAGACATTCCTCTGACAAGGCTCCCTGAAGAATAAGAATATGGTCCTTACCCAGTTGAAAGATAGGAGAGCCAGCTTGGAGTTTTTATTATTTGGTGGATTCTCAACTAACTGACCTCTCAAAACTGGGCAAATAAGTTAACTATTTGTGTCTTTGTTTTGAATGAACAGTTTTCACTTTTTTCTCATTATTTTATAAAGACTAAATGACACTTGGAAAATGAAAGATGTTTGGGAACTATTAATGCAGCAGAATGTTCCTGAATGTAATGCATATATATGGTTAGTAAATTCAAACAAGTTTTAAATTTACTGAAGAACGTGTAATTTTGTTAGAAAAAAAAAAGACCTCTGCTTTACCCTGAGTACCCATTTTTTTCCCATAGTAGAGCAAATTTGAGGGATAAAATAAGTTCTGTTTTGGACATGTTTTAGACACACTGACTCTGAGGGGCACAGACATGGACTTACCTAGCAGACAGTTTAGTGAGCAGATTTGGACATCAGGGGCTGAATTAGAGATGGAAAATTGTTTTTCTCCATTTGACATTTATTTACTTAGAAACCTGTGTTCTGAACTATTACAGCATAAAGAGTTTGGGTAGATTTAGAGGCTATATGTGTATTGTAGTCATAGACAGAGTCCTGATTTAGTAGATGAGGATTCTAATTGTAATTCTGTTATATTTTCAGACTGTGAGACTTAGGACACAGGGGCTCAGTTTACTCATGAAAAATTGAATCATTGATCTAAGTGTTCAGTGTCATCTTTTACTGAAAAAAATTTAATACTCTGAGGCTTTGTTATTTAAGTACCTGTAATATGCATGGGTGGTACCTCTGGATCAGGAATTAGAAAAGTTCTTCCTAAGAACCACCTTGGCACCATAGGCTATGTACCTACTCAGAGAAGAGGAAGAGCAGTGGGACAGAATGAAAGAAGGCAGAGGGTCAGAGGCCTAATTAAGCCAATAAAATAATGCTGGAGCTTTCCTTTACTTATACGTTTTCAGTTTATGAACTTCTGTATGGAAATGAACAAAAGCTACCCACCAGAGTAAAGGGGTCTTTTTCTGTCCTAGCAAGTGGCTTAGTGATCATGGGCTGTCATTTCAGTATTGATTAATTACTGTGGTTAGTGTGTACTGTAACATTTGGGTATGTTGATTGCTTGTCTTTATTTTGGAGGTTTAAAAAATACTTATTTTTTATTTTTATACAGTTTTTAAAGGTTACATTCCATTTACAGTTATTACAAAATGTTGGCTGTATTTGCTGAATTGTATAATACATCCCAATAGCCTATCTTACACCCAATATTTGTACCTCCCACTCTCCCACCCCTATGTTGTCCCTCCCCTGCCCCCCACCACTGGTTTGTTCTCTTTATCTGTGAGTCTGTTTCTTTTTTGTTATATTCACTAGTTTGTTGTATTTTTTAGATTCTACATATAAGTGATATGATACAGTATTTGTTTTTCTCTGACTCATTTCACTTAGCATAATGCTGTCGAAGTCCATCTATGTTGCTGCAAATGGCATTGCAACATTCTTTTTTGTGGCTGAGTAATATTCCTGTGTGTGTGTGTGTGTGTGTGTGTGTGTGTGTGTGTGTGTGTGTATCATACCTGTACCCATTCATCTGTTGATGGACACTTAGGTTACTCCTATAGCTTGGCAATTGTGAATAATGCTGCTGTGAACATTGGAGTTCATGTATCTTTTAAAATTAGAGTTTTTGTGTTAAAAACATCTATTAAAAAACAATAGCACTGTGGAAGTGTTACTAAGAAAAAGCATGTGATTGCAATGGAAAAGAAAGTGAAACTTTACATTGATATGTTCACGTAGGTCATTTGTACTGTGTCACCTTTGTATTTATGAATAAAGGGATTTGGAATAGACTCTTGGAATCTAACCTTTTACAGAGAAACTTTTGTAAAAGGAAACATCCCTCGATTCCTGTTAACTTACTGTGGTTCTTCAAGTTTAGAATAATGGTTTCCTCGTCATTAAAAGTATTAGCCATTTTTTATAAAGAATATATATAGGAAGAGCTTAAATATCTAATGACACATTTTCAAAACAATGTCTGTCATTAATATGATTCTTTTTATTATTATTATTGGTGTACTGGTATGATAGGTAGAGAAGAAATTTTAGACAACAGTTACTTATCAGGAGAAGTTTTGCTCTAATTATTGTGGTGCTTGGCACACTGCTTTGCAAATAGTCACTGAAACATGTATTCATTTGAACTAGGGGGGCATAATTTTCAAATGTGAGACAGTGTACAGTTAGTGCTAATTTAGGGGTAAGGGCAGTATGTGCTGTATTTTGAAGGTCCATGTAGGTCGAAGCATAGAGGTTGGGTGGCTCTGTGAAAGAAATGGGACTTGAGCCTTGATGATGGAAAAGATGTGAATGGCTGCTGAGAAGTGGGAGAGGTGTGCAGGGAATGGGGAATATTAGAAGTTGAGAAGGGAGGCAAGAATGAATGTAGAATATGTGGAGGACCAAGAAGGCGGCCTTGTTATAGAAGAATTGGGTGAGTGTAAAGGAAGATATTGTATGTATGTCTGATGTCTGATGTTTATATGTCTGCCTGTGATCAATTTAGGTCAAAGTACCTTTCCCCCATTCTAGATATGTTGCATTGTTAAAAAAAACTACCTGAATAGTAGTGCTAAAAATACTTTACCAATGTTGGAGTTGGACTCATTATTAAAAGAGGTAGAGTGGGTGGCTGTGGGAAACTACTGGGTTAGAATTTAGTTTAGTGAGTAGCAGTATCGCCTGAGTTGAATTCTTAACTATTATTATTATTTTGATTTCCAGTTAAAGAAATCAGTCATCCACGATGACCCCTAGTGTCTGGAAAATACAGGGAACTGGCTTTACCGAAAGTAGGAAAATGAGTGTGTGATTTAGCAAGCACCTACTGGCTGGATTGAAGTTTTCAGGGAAACTGATTCATCAGTTGAGCTTCATTCCTGAACTTGTCTCTTTAAATTTATAAATGCTGTTTCAAAGAGCTAAATATTATTTAATGTGATTATTTTTGTATCTTTGTCTTTTCATGTCATCTTTATGGCTGTAACTGTATGATGAAAAAAATTAATAAAATTGTGATAAACTTTTGAATTAAAATTTCCTTTTACTTTTATCATAGTAGTAACTTCTTTTTTTCTTTTAAATTAAATAGGCAAACGTCTTTGGCAGGCACATTTTAAAGCTTTTCTCCCTCCACTGGGAAATTGTTTTTACTCTTAAGTTGCGTTTCTGTTTTTCTATTGTAAAGTGCAGTTCTTTGCATGTTCTAATTTGCCATGACGTGGTCAAGTGCTGTTTCCTTCCTGTTGCTTGCAAGCCTGTGCTAGAGATAAGGATACATTTCAGTGCATTAAAAAAGAAGCCACCGAAGACAGGCTTAAGCATGGTAAAGCGTTCTACTTATCAGAAACCTTTTTAAAGAACAGAACGAGGGGGCTTTAGTTTCTGCTTATTTTTAAGAGCTCTTAAAATAGTACTTATTAAACTTTAAAAGTATTAGGTTTTAAATCTTTATATATACTAGGCCTAACAGGAGTAGTGTCTGAATGTTTCTATTAAGGCAAAAATATACATTATGAAATTACTCACGGAGTAACAATTCCTATGTGTATGGCTTGCTGGGTTAGTAGAAAGAAGGGGATTGTTTATATGTCCTTTATTGTAATTATAAAAGCTAGTTATGGTTGGGTGGATTTTTTTTTTTTTTTTTTTTTTTTTTTTAGTAAACAGTACTTTGTAACTTACCTCGGGGGAAGGGGAGAATGGCTTCGTTTTCAGTAATGAGAGATGTACTTAGCAAGACTGAAATCTTAAAAGAAAATACATATCTAAATTAAAAAAAACTTCTCTATTCACTAGTCATGTCGATTTTTATTTAAAAACATTAACGAAAAAGTACTTTGGAGATACTGCCATCTGTGTGAATGTTACATTCTAAGTGGCATGAATTGCTTTCTCAAAACTAACTTAAGCTTTATATTTTTCAGGCCAAGAAGTTCTAGAGAAGAAAAATTGCAGAAAAATTGCCTCTATTTTAGTAAAATCTCAGTGAACCAAGAAAATTTTGAAGCACCTTCTCTAAAGAAAACCTGGGTATACAGTAACTTCACAGACTTAGCTTGGTTTTTTTTACCCGAATTAGTCACTGGATTCTGCTGCCTGATACTTGAACCTGCTTGGGATTTTTCTCATGTGGATCTAAGGGGAATGCTTTATTATGGCTGCTGTTGTCCAACAGAACGACCTGGTGTTTGAATTTGCTAGTAACGTCATGGAGGATGAACAACAGGTATGACTGAGACCCAGAGAGAATTAGATTCTAACAGATTTACGATGATGATATTTCCCTTTGTGTCAGAAAATTATTTCCTTTAAAAGGGAGTAGGACAAACTTTATTAATGTAAACATTTAAATATTTAAAATATGGAGGTAATGAGATTTTACATGTTAAGTGCTAGTTAATTCATTAAGAGAGAATCTTATCCTGAGCTTTGATGTGGTTAACAAGGATGTAATACTTTTGGAGTTAGCTTGTTTTTCTGTAAAATGAGACTTAGCAGTAAGTACCTTAAGTAATTATTTCAGGGTACTTTGAAAAGTTCTAGATGACATAATAACATGACGTACTTTTTTTATATATAGTGTAGGACTGCTGATTTTAATAGTTGCTTGCAATTACACAGTTTTAATGGATGTGGTTAATTAAAGTTCATAATCCTGGGCTGTTTCTTCATGAGAATGGAAAGATCTTAGCAGTCCCATAATCATACAACATTTCAGCCCAAAGCATGTGACTCTGAGGAAGTTACTTAACTTCTCTAGATCTCGATTTCATCATCTGTTGAATGAGGGACTTGAACTGCAGAATTTGTAAATTGGCTTTCTTTTATTGAATTTATACAAGATATGCAAATTACTGTTTCTAGAATGTAAAAAAGATCCAAGAGATACTGAGAAAAGAACTGAGTTAATTCTGGTCTTCCCCCCTCCTCCCTAGGCATTCCTGGGACTTTATATTTGCTTCATTTTAAGCGGGTTATTTGGAAATACAAGACACGATGTGAGAGAAATTGTGTGTTAGATTCAGTGTACTGGGAAAAATATTTTGAAGTCTGGTTTAAAAGATTTAAAATATGTCTAATAAAGCTGATTTATATATTGAAATAAGCCTAATTTCAAATGCCTAACTTTTAATAGGCCAATTAGAATGTATCATGCTTTTATTCTAGGTGATTCTTACTTTTTGGCAGGGCATTGTCATTTCTTAGCTCTTTGTATTGTTGAGTAAAGTGACAGAATCAAATTTTTACAAATAAACCTACAAAAGATGAGAATTTGGAATAAGGTGCCTTAAAATCAAGATGAGCTTTGGCTAGGGAGGAAAAAAGTATCAGGGAGAGGATTGCATGTTCCCAATTAAAAATGTATTAATAGCTTATAGATTTAATCTAGGGAGAATAGAAAAGATAAAAATTTTAGGAGAAAGTGTTTTGAATCATTTTAAAATAGGATGTTTCTGGGAATGTTAAGAATTGAGAACAGTGTGTTTACTCTTCAGCCCTGGGAGATGAAAGATCCCAGACTTGATGTGGTGAGGTTTGTTCTCGGCCTGTGGCCGCAGAGGACGGAGCTCTAAGCCGCTCACCTGTGTGCTCCAGTGCACTGGCTTTGACCCTCTTTGACCATGAGAAATATATTTTACGTTTTGGTGCAGTATTCAGACATGTGTCTGTATAGCCTTAGAAAAAGTTTCACAAGACAGTGCCTACCCTTACTATGTATGATGCACTTAGTTTAACTCGCAGAATGTCTTTGTATAGGGAGATTTACTCATTGCTTAACATCAGAATGCATGTGTACGTATTTTCCTATTTATTTTTATCTAACTAAATGAATGAATACTAGTTTTGTGCAGATATTATCATAAGGACTTTACACATGTTAAACATAAGGGGCAAATACCATCATCTCCATTTTACTGTGAGGAAACTGAGAGAGAATAGATAGGTTACGTGACTTACCAGAAGTCCTACAGCTAGTAAATAGTGGAGCTGCAGCTGAACCTGATCAGTTTGACTCTCACTAATGATGTAGCTCTTGCAGGGATGTATGCTGATCGTACTGTATAATAGTCAGCTGGCCAGGTTTAGGGTTTTTCAATCTGTGGCCAGGAGCATAGCAAACTAAACTGATTTACACGGGGTTAGATCTAGTAATGTCAGTCTTACTAACATCTTATCTTACGTATTGAGTAGATGTGGGTCTATTCTCCTGTTTGTTACCTGCTTGTTAAATTTGTTTTAAATATAAATGTAATAGCATGCCAATTATAAAAGAAGTCACCTAATAGAAAAATACATACAGTAAATAGTGAAGGTCTCTTTTCACCTACTCTCCCTAATCCTGTTCTCCCCAGAAGATACAAGTATTGACTATTTGACGTATAATTTTTTGGGTAAAGGCCTAAACAGAAGAACAGTATAAATATATACAAACCTATGTACAGAGGTTGTTTTTAAGATACAAGTGAAAGAGTGTTAAACCTACTTCATGACTTATTTTTACTTAATGTATTTTAAATATTTGAATGTATGTCTGCTGGCTCTACATCATTTATTTTTCCACATGATGGATGGATCATAATTTATTTTGATCATGGACACCTGGCTATTCTCAGTATTTTGCTATTATAAATGAATATCCTCATGTGGGAGGCAATAGACCTTTAGTGGCTGAGAGCTCAGATAATGGAGTCAGAGCACCTGGATTTGAATCCTTGCTCCACTGCTTATTACCTCTGTGACCTTGGGCAAGTTCCTTAACCTCTCTGTGCCTTAGTTTCCTTACCTGCAAAATGAGGGTGATAATAATAGACTTGATATTATAAGTAAAGTTGTTGTAAAAATTAAATGAGTTGATGTATATAAAGTTCTTCAAACTATACCTGGCACAGACTAATATTAACTGAGCATTGTCATTTCATTATTACATCTGTGTGTGTGTATCTTTTTATACTTGTATGATTATTTCTGTAGTATATTTTTTAAAGTAGAATTACTGAGTTTACTAAAAGCATAAACAGAACATACTACCAAATCATTCTTCAAAAAAGCTGTGTCAGTTTCTACTACCACTAGCAGTCTATTTCCCAAACCATCACTAACAGAAATCCTTTTGGTCAGTCTTCTGGGTGAAAATTACTTTTTTTACTATTTAATTTTGCGTTTTTTTGACTACTAGTAATGAGGCTGCGTGATTGTTCCATTAACTTTATTTATTCATTTGAATTTCCTTTAAACTACTTACAAATATCCTTTTGCCTAGCAGGAGTTCTTTATATATTATGGGTATTAAAACAGTATCGTTACCTTCTAATTAATTCATTGTACAGTTAGTGGTTAACTCTCTTTTTGTAACATGTGATGCAGATATTTTGTCTCAATCTGGTACTGTCTTTTAACTACATATCTTGTGACCTATTGAAATTTAAATATTTATATCATAAAATTGACCATTTTTTTGTGATTTTTCTTTAGGAAAGCTTTTCTTACCCTTAAACATTCTCTTTATATTTTCTTCTAGTATGTTTTATAAGTTTAACTCCTCAGTCCATATGAAATCTATTTTTGTGGGATAGAGGTATGGGAATCTCATGACTTTCCCACAAATGGATATTGGCCTTTCGCCATTTATTGAATGTTTTATGATTTCCATACTGACTGCTGTTTTTGTTATATTCTAAATTACTGTACGTACAGACTAAAGTTTTGAACTTGCTGGCGTATTTTATTGCATTTTCCTGTTTCATATTGTGTCACTATCACATTGCTTTCATGGGTGTCACTTCATAGATTTGATATCTGAAAAGACATTCTTCCCCCCCAAAAACTGTGGTAGAATTTTGAATGAATTTTAGAATTGGCATGTTACTGGGATTTTGACTTTTCAAAGTATTTGTGTCTTTAAAATAATTTGCACTGCTTTATGATCCTGTATTGGTTTAATTGATTGGTTCTTTATAAAATCACTGTTTGAAGGCACCAGATTAGAATGTATTTCCTGTTTTCAGTTATGGTCTGTGGTTATTAATGTAGTCATTGAAGGAAACTGACACCATTAATGTGTGGTTGCCACCACCTTGATCATTTTCCCTTATATCAATTAGTCCTCTTTTCAGAATTGCATAGAACTCCTTCAGGCAGGGATGAGGAAGGGGGTATTGGAAAGGAAATATGAATATTGTTGGTGCTGAGGGTGGGTATAGTTCAGTGATAGAGCACATTCCTGGGTTAATCCCTAGTACTTGCATTTAGGGGGATAAAAAAGAAGAACACAGCCAGTCCTGGGGCTGTTCCTAAAAGGAGCGGCTGCAGGTTGATGCTCATACGTGTGTGTGTGTGTGTGTGTGTGTGTGTGTGTGTATACATACATATATATATATATGCTAACAAACCATCTAGTAGTCTCTTCTTGCTGTTAGTTCCAAAGTGGGACTATTTGTAGCTGAGAACAAGGTACTTCTGTGGGAGTATTGAATTACAGTATACTTTGTTTGAAAGTGCCTTGATTGACCTTATTAAACAAGTGTGTTTGCCTGGTGAATGTATGAGAATAAGAAGAAAGCTAGAGAAGGAAATTTAACTATATGCTCAAATACTCCAGAAGTTAATTTAGTGAAAAACAGCTGGTAGCTTAATGCTTTTAATAATTTTGGTATATTATTACACTGTGTGTTTTTTCAGTTGTTGGTTCTAAAAGTAGAACTTAACTTTTACTTACAAATCATAGTTACTTATGCTTAACAAACTTAGCTCACGAGGGAGAAGCTTGGTGACATGCTAGGGAGAGTGAAACAGTATTTTTATAAATCCCTTCCCAGTATAAAAAGGTGGTCTTATGACTTTCCTTCCTAGGGTGTAAATTGGCTCACTCACACTGCAGATTCTGAGAGGCTAAAGGGTAAACAGTGCCTTGCTGTCTTTTCGAAATTCTCGTGCGGTGTCTGGGAAATCACCACTCAGTGTAACAGAGGTCTGCACAGAGTGCTGCGTATTCAGAGAAAGGAGCCTTTGACTGCACTGTGACTTTGAGAGAGTGTCACCCAACGTCACATGGGAGTTACATTTGAACTGGATCTTGAAGGAAGATCCAGTTTATCTGACAGATGAAGAAGAGGAAGTGTTTCAGAACAACAGAACATACCAAAACTTCTGATGAATTTCTCTGAACTGAATAATTGATCTAAGCACCTTGACTTATCATTAGAAGCTCTTCATAGTGTGACTGTTTCATGCGCTTTCTTTCTTGTACTACATTAATTTTGTCAGCCAACTGTATGATTTTCCCAAAGGCTTTCTTGCTTCCTCGCTGTTTGATTTCCCACATTCATACCTGTTACCTGTTTAAATTCTAATCATCTTTCAAGATCTTAGGATATAGCCTACTTATTCTAGGAACTTATCCTAAAATCATCCTTCTAGGAATTAACAGCTTTATCCTGTTTTTCCTAAATGACTTATTGCCAGTATCACACATTTGCCATGTTGAATTCTTACGTATGCATGATTAATTTTCCAGATAAGTGCTAAACTACTTGAAATGAAAGGGATTTCTTCCTCCCGTCTTTGTATTCCCCATGCATTTTTAATATAATGTATAATACATTTATTGGTTGAGTGCTCTTAAAGACTTTTCTTCCTTCTCTTAATCCTGTTGGTAAAATGATGTGGGATATATATGTGCTCAGTTATGATCCTCATTACATCGGAAGGCCTTTGAATGAAAGGTGATATCCTGCCCCACAGCTCTTTATTATGGTGTTTTTGGTTTTTTTTTTCTGAGACCTGTTTGTCCTCATTCTCCCTTAGTGCATGGGCAATGTGGCATGTCGCCACAATTCCAAGACCAGAAACAAATACTCATGGAGTCTTTTTTTCTGATTTATTTAGAACTATTATGTTGTATGTGTTTAGTGAAAACCACCTCAAATACCTTTTAAAAATTGTTATTGAAATTATAAATTATAAGTATTAATTTAAAGTTTTCCTATTTCTTGGGAGGCTCGTTCAAGTTGCAGAGGGAGTTTTTGACGCGGTTGTTATCTTGAGAATGAGATTGTATTTTGTAGACCGAGATAAATACAGATCACACCAACCTGCCATTTTTTTAGCTGGAATGGTAAAATTCTGTTAGGCCAGGGGTTAAGTGTACCTTAAAGTTAGAGGTACAAGGACTGTGCTGATAGTGTGCTGTGTGTAACTTGTTCAGGACCAGTTTTGTAGAGGACAGGAAGCTGGAATGATCTAACCTGTGCATGGACACAAGGGATCTGGTTATTTACATACAGTTCCAGGTTCTGTTGACTGATCTCTCTGTTTCTGTTATCCTCATTCTTAACCTTGGCAGAGCAGACTTATCAGATCCATTAAAAGTTTGGCCATCTGTAAAACTCACATACAGAGAACTCTTGTTTCTTTTCTGTACATTTAGAAAGGCCTTCATCAAAGGCATTAAGCCGTGATGCCCGCAGTACAAGCCTTATTATCTTGGGGGAAAGTCTGACTTTGCATAAGGCCTGAGGCGCTCTCCAGGTTATGTGAAGGGACAACCCTGCCTGTGGCCTCCAGGTTGGCCTGGCTTATCTTCCTGCCAACTATTAGCAGCGAGGAAGCTGACGGTTGTTATGAGGCAGGAGTTTTGGTGGGGGAGTAGAATTTAACTGTTACTCCCTGTTGCAGAGTCTTTTTCTAAGTGTCCCCCAACTATCACACAGAGGCCCCGTGACAACGTCTTAAAAATGAATATGGATGAGATCATCGCATAGTGTAGGACAGGGACTAGTTGGGCTCCAGAAACATTCAGTGGTGAATTTTAGTAACTAATATTTACTTAGCGTTTTGTCCTGTGTATTATGCTCTGTGCTTTACAGGGATTATCCTCGTTAATTGTTACAGCAAACTTACAAAGGAGATATTCTAATTCTCACTCTATAGAAGAATAAAGTGAGCTCAGAGAAGGGGGCAACTTGCCTATAAATGCTAAAGCTGGGGATTGCAACCCAGCTCGTGCCTTCAACCACTGTATTTGGATAATGCCAGCCACTGATACATGTCAGTGGTAAAAAAAGTAATTTAAACGGTAGAAGAATTATTATGCTTTACATTTATGACTTTAGCAAAAAGAAAATGTTCATTGTAGTTAATTTGTTAGTGTAGTTACAAGTTGACAGTCTTTGTCACTGATATACCTGTATATTTCTTTTTTTAAAACAGTTTTATTGAGATACATTTTACATATCATATAATTCGCTTGTTTAAAGCATATGAGTCAGTGGTTTTTAGGATATAAACAGAATTGTACATCCATCACCATAATCAGCTTTGGAACATTTTTATCATCCCCCAAAAAACCTGTACCCATTAGCAGTAAGGTCCTGTTCCTCCCCAACTCCCAGTTCCTGGTAACCACTAATCTACTCTCTCTGTGTGGATTTGACTACTCTGGATATTTTGTATAAGTGGCATACAATATGTGATCTCTTATGACTGACTGCTTTCACTTAGCATGGTGTTTCCAAGGTTCATCCCTGTTGTAGCATGAATCAATACCTCATTCTTCTTGCTACTGAAAAATATTCCATTATATAGATAATACCACATTGTATTTATCCATTCTGTGTACCTTTCAAAAGAATACTGTTTTTTTTTCAATAAGGTTTGTGTTAGTCAATTTTTGTTGAGGATAGAATTAAGCAATCTCTATTTTCCCAGAAAGTACTGAGTCACCTAGAGCAGTCTTACTGGATAAATAAGGAAATCAGTACCTCTTTGATGTATCTCAGTTTAGCTATGTGATCTTGAAATTTTTTACCTCCTTTCCATTTCACTTAACACGCAACACAGAAAGGATAAGCCGTTATATAAACATAGTGTCTTAAAATTTTTTACCTCCTTTCCATTTCACTTAACACACAACACAGAAAGGATAAGCCATTATATAAACATCGTGTTACTGTGTTACTGGCCTTTCCCTTTTTTTAAAGCCAGGGTCACCTTCAACACCATTTAGGGAATATTGATGAAGATAATGGCCTTTGAATTAGTGGAGTAAAAAGAAAACTGCTAATGGTTAGAGTGTGAATATAGCAGAGTGATGCCCATAATGTTCATAAATCTAATATAACTCATATTAAATATGTTAGAATATAGGCAGGATTTTTTTTAACACAGTAATCAAAATTCTCAATATTAGGGTAATTCTTTTTTTGGAAAGAAGAGTTACGTTACAAGGTAAAGACTGGTGATACATTTGTGAGCTTATCTGTTTCATCTTTTCCTGCCACTTGTCAATGAAGAGCCTGTGTGATGTGGCCATCAAAGCAGAGTATGAGCTTGGGAACTAGCCCAGCCGCTTACTAGCTGTGTGACTTCAGACCAAATTTTAAATTTCACTGAGCTTTGATTTCCTCCACCAAAAGTGAAAGAATTCCCTCCCAAGGTTTATGAGCATTAAATGTTTATATAAAGCATTTAGTAAGAGCCTAGCACAAAGGAAGTGGGCAATAAAGGTGCTAGTTGCTGTATTAATGACCTGAGGTTAAATCAAGAAAAAGTTAAAGTTTGTTGTGTTGCACTGTGTACTCTGTGTTACTCAGTTGTTTTGAATAAGTGAGGTAATTAAGGTAGTTCTTATGACTTGGATACCAGTTAGTCAAATTCATTCAGCTTTAAAAAACTATATTTTCTTAGTTTTTCTTCGATACTTGAGAATGGCTGACTTGGTTCTAAAATAAGCCAATAAACTTGTCATTCAGTATTTTAAAAATTTGGGAGATTGTTTCACCTTTAATATAATATGTTAAGTTTGTTTTGACAGTTTGATCTGGAGTTGTTCAGTTTTTTTTGAAGCCACTCTAATTTCTGTCATTTCCTGTGATCAGCTAGTGTGACTTTTTCATTTTGGAAAAGGCTTTTGTTGTAGCTAAACTAATTCTATGATTTGTACTTGTATAAGATTCTTGCCAAAGTTCATCTTTTAGAAGCAGGAGTTACCTTTTTAATTATGATTTTACTTAAATTTTTTGAGTTATAGAAGATCTGCATGTCTAAAACATTTGTCAGTCTGATTTACTACACGTCCCAAAATCTACCTTTTTTTTTAAATCTCATAATTGATTCTATTCACACTTAGCTAGCAACACACCCCCCCCCCAATATATTAAGCTTTTCAAGTGGGCACTCTAAAAAAAAAAAAACTAAGATTGTTTTCAGTGATTATTTTACTTTTTTGAGATGCATGGCCAAGTTGTAATTTATCCTGATTGAAAAAAGAAAAATCTGAGCAAAGACTAAAGAAGGCCAGTTGTCACGGAAGACCTAGAATGTGATTAGATTTAGCTAAATCAGCTCCGCAGGAATTTACAATAGAAATTTCAGACATTATCTTGGAGAAGACCAGAGAAAGGACCATTTTAGTGAGACCTTTCTATTTTTCAGGGTGCTGTGCAGGAGAAAAGCCGGGCGCCTTCAAAAACACTCATTTCTACTGGAACCAACAGAAATAAAACTTTCAGCTGTAGCTCTAACAGTGTACATTAAGAAAAAACACGTATATATATTTTAAACCCAAGATTTAACTGAGATAAAACTTGTATTATGACTATAATTTATCTGTAGGATCCTTTAAATGGTTGAGCTTGTGGACGCTGGAGTCAGATTGCCTGGGTTCAGATTTCAACTCTGCCTCTTCCTAGCTGGCTGGCCAGTGTCAACAAAACAGCGCTGTGTTGTGTCAACTGGGATAAGCCACGTGAAGTACTTAAACATAGTAACTAGTTTCATCATCATCATCACCATCATCACCTCCACCACATTAGGAATACCATTTTATTGTTTATTGAAGAACTCTCAAAGACTGGAGGACGCGTTATCCAGCACTGTAGTGAGTTTCTTTTTAATCAGATTAAGGAAGTACTTTGACTATGTTAATTACCAGAAATTTGAATCATTTTTCCCTTATACAAAGCCACTAGCTGTGATGTGTGTTTGTATCATGATATTTATAGAAGGTACATAATCCATGAAAACCTAGGATATTGGAGACAGAGAGCTGTCGAGAAATGAGGGGACTGATAGAAGAACGTATGTACATTTTGTGCCCTGATGCTGCTTTGGAAGTTAATCTCTGTGCCAAGAAAACATTACCTGCTCTAGTCTTGAATAAAGTGTGAAAAATAGCACTGCCTGTTAGGCAATTTTGTAGAGCCCTTCTCCACATACGCTTTAGTTCTCACAAATCACCCTGTGCTAGAGATGGTATTCTTCCTGCTTTCTGTAGTAGACTATTATCTTGAATTTATTACTGGATAACTGGGAGAACTATAGTAGAATCCTATAAGAGATTTTTAGGGCAGGGTTACAGAGGCACTGAGAGTATTGGTGAGAATAATCTAGTTTATTTACTAAAGATACCTGGATTCCAGTTCTGATTTAATAGCATTCTTTTAGAATATCTGTTAGTGGAGAGTTTGCCTTATTAGCTGTTCATTTATTTTCTCATTAATTTTCTTGATAGTACTTGATTTGTTTGTTACCTTCCTATTAGGAGATAATGTAGAACTGTGTAGGGATTTGATGTATCACTTAAGCTAGTGCACTGAAGTGTTTTTAAGTTTTTGGAATGACTGGAATCAATATTTGACATTTTGTTTAAAATGAAAATGAACTAGTAACAACAGCAACAACAAAACCTGAGGAAATTGCCAAGGAGCAACCTCCGCATGCATAAAACTGGTAGATCCAAAGAGTTTCATGGGTGAAGTATTTTAAAATTTAGTGAATCATTGAAACAGTTCCAGTTCAGAGAGAGAAGTTCCCTAATTCATTTTGACGGAGCCAGTATAACACTGATACCGAAACCTGGCAAAATGTGTGGGTGCACACGTTGAACAGTAGGCTAATTTCAGGATAGGTATTTTGTTTAGCTACAAGAGGTAATATTTATTGTCTCTTAGCTTTGTGGGGTCCTGTAGGTGACTTGCATTTTCTCTTTTGAGCCTCAGGATAAGCTTGTACAATACGGCAACTGGTACTCTGTTTTTACAAATAAGGAAAGTCTTTGTAAAGAGGAACTCAAGAGAGGTTGAAAGAAGGAGTGAATATTGCCCAGAAACACAACTGTAAAGTGACAGCACCTACGCTGAAATTGAGTCTTTGACTTGAGAAAGTCCAAAATCTTAATCATTATGCTAGGAAAGATATCAGAGAAAAGAGGAACCTTGAAGGAAAAAGAGAATCTGGAAGAATAAATAATAGCATTTAACAGTAATTATAATTGTAATAAGTAGGATTTTTACTTTCTCCCCAATACATTTATGTATTACAATGTTTAAAAATCTAGATTCATGTACTACACTTTCAGTCAGGAGAACTATAAGTTAGACCTATGTGTTGGGCAGTGTGCACTGCAGCTACTAAAGACTTTTCTACCTGACTGCTAAAACTACTTTTCATTTTCTTTTAAAATAAAGCAGGGATGAACTCCTGTAAAGAGAGCTTGAGTCAGTCAACGTAAGTATCCTCATTTGCAGCAAATGAAGCTGTTTTAATGACAGATTTTCAAACTATGCCGAGAATCCAGCTGTGAAAAAGCTTAGTGCTGAGTCTCAGAGACCTATTGCACAGTCCTGGCTTGTTTTATGTAACACATCGATTCCTGAAATCTTTTAAAGTGCACTTTGGAAATTGATAACAGTGGTAGTTATTGGGGAGGAAAACGATAAGGAAAGGAGATGATAATGTTTTATACTCTTAGGATACAAATATGTTCATATATTAATGTATTCCCAAAAATAATTTTTAAAAATATACCATGGGAACTTGTTTAAAGGATTTTAGGGGAGTGGGGTATATATGGCTCAGTGGTAGAGCACATGCTTAGCATGCACAAGGTCCTGGGTTCAATCCCCAGTACCCCCGTTAAAAAAATAAGTAAAGGATTTTAACTTTTATTCCTTTTGTTCACCAGTCATCCTAATTTTGTGTGTGTATTTCCACCTAGATGTGCTATGTCTAGAGATTTTCTTTAATTTTATTATGATTTATATGAGAGAATGAAGGAAGACCATTATAGTATTTGATCTGGTCCCAGTTACGTCCTCCTAACTGCTCTGCATTTACCTCTGCTCAGAGCTGAGAGAACTCAAGAACAGTGAGTTGAAAATATTTTCAAGTTCTGTTTCTCCCATCGTATGGACCTTTGCTTTTGAAGCTTTCAACTAAGAAGTATGGCATAAACACAAAAAGATGCACAGATTGTTAAGTGTGCAGTTTGATAAATTTTCACAGTGAATATACATACGTATCCAGCTTTTACTTTTCAGTTGAAGCTAAATGGTTGTTGCTGGGAAAATATGGATAAGTTTTGTTCACCAGTTTTCTGAAAGGACTATTCTTACTTAAAAAACAACTCCAAAAACCATCCCCGTCAGTATAAGATTGTAGTAAGCCAAGTCCCCCTCCCCACAGCTTTATTGAGATATAATTTATATATAACATTGTTTAAGGGGTGCAGTGTGATGATTTGATATATGTATGTAAGTAGTAAGCTGAGTTTTAAGAGTGTTTATTTCTATCTAAAGCAAATATTGAGGGATTTTGATCATCAAAAAAGTTGATGCTATTGAATGCTTACTGTATGCCATGCAGTATATGTGATATATTTCCTGTTACTGAATTTTTACAACACCTCTAGAAGATACTATTCTTGTTTTAGATGGACACAGAAAATAAAACCTCAAGAAACTGAGTGATTTGCCTGAGTTCAGGCACCCAAGCATGGTGTGCAATCTGGCCTTAAATGGGTCATTCTGATTCTAGAGCCTGAGCACTTACTGTTACATCCTGTTTTCACCATGTGTATTTCTAGTGCACTTGCAGCTTGGTAAATATTGTCAGATTGTGTCCTGATAGAGTAAGGGATTGGGTTTTTGTTTTTTAAATCTAAGATAAAGGAAGTCATTTCAAAGCAGCGCCTTCATAGGATGAGGCTCCGAGGCAGCATTCTGATTGGAAGGGAGAGCACAGGAATTTGTCTTAAAGATATATTTTCAAGGCAAGTGCACCGTGTTTAATTTGTATGTTTTTTGGAATGGCCTTGGAGTAGGAGGAGCTATTGAAGATTATGGGAGGAGTAGGGCCCTTACCGGCTCTCGGTATCACCTTGACTCTTGGCAAAGAGATGGTATTAACTACTTAAAAGTGTGCTCATTTAGCATCTTATCTTTAAAAAGGAATATCTACATTGGGGAAATTTTTAAAGACTGTTTTTAACCAGCTTTTCGTTTAGGAAAACATTGGGTACATATTTCATTTTACGCTATTTCGTAGGGGATCTTGGCAGGATGTTTCACAACAGCCACATACCAGATTGAGCTCTGCTGTTAGAGAAGCTTGGCAAACAAGTTACTTGAAAGTTCTTTTGCTTTTTTATATACAAAATCTTATTGACTAAACTTGGTTAACGTAGTTGGGATAATGATCCGTAGTTTCTTAAATATTTGCCCAGGGCCTTGGATTATGGTATATTGAGGAAACAAGCAAGCCTCAGTCAGGGTTGTAACATATTGTACTGTTTACAGATTGGTCACTTTCCTTCTCTTTTTAACTTGGTGGCATTGCCACATATATCATTAACCACAACGAATGGCAACTATATAGGGGACAGTGTTGAAATTTGGGGAATTGTCTCTTTTTCCTGCTAACATTTGGTTTGAATTTTATTATTCCTACTAAAAAAATTGTTAAAAATTTGCTTTCAACACATCAAAAATTTACCTGCAATTAATAGAAAGGGAAACTTGTATATGTATTTTTCTCTCTGGAGCTGTTAATACTTTCAGTAACATTGCAGAACAGTCAAACATCAGGTTATCACTGCATTTAATTTGCTTATAGAAGTAGAGGCTTCAATAACACTGATCTTTAACATTTAATTCTAAGAAGCCCTCCCTCTCTCTCCCCACCCATAATTTGTGATTTATTTTGGTTCTATTCCAAAAGCAAATGGTAAAATAATCTGCAAGTGCCAAACAGCAAAAGATCTCATAATATGATAATGTAACTGTTTGTCTCTTTGGATTACTAACTGGTATCTGGGAAATTGGCATAAATAGAGTGGATTCAATTTAGGGAATGCAGTTTAGAATCTTGTAATTCTTTAGAGCAGTGGTTCTGAACCTTATGTACTCATTGGAATCCCCTGAGGAGCTTTAGTAATATGTGCTGGTCACATCCTTAGATATTCTGGTTTATTTGATCCCATGTAGGACCAGATACTAATATTTTTAGATGCTTCCCACTGTATAATCAAGGTTGATAACCACTGGTAGAGTTTACTGAGATTCCCTAATTGAAGTAAAAGGTACTGAAGAGAAGATGTTAAATTATTTAAATGAGAAGTTTTTTTTGAAATTAAGCCCTTGTTCATTGTATAGTTTGCAAATATTTTCTCCCATTTAGTAGATTGTCTTTTTTATTTGTTTATGGTTTTCCTTTGCTGTGCAAAAGCTTTTAAGTTTCATTAGGTCCCATTTGTTTATTTTTGCTTTTATTTCTATTTCTTTGGGAAACTGACCTAAGAATGTTGCTATGATTTACGTAAGAGAATGTTTTGCCTATGTTCCCTTCTAGGAGTTTTGTGGTGTCCTGTCATTTAAGTCTTTAAGCCATTCTGAGTTTATTTTTGTGTATGGTGTGAGAGAGTGTTCTAACTTGTTTGATTGACATGTGGCTGCCCAGTTTTCCCAACACCACTTGCAAAGAGACTGTCTTCTCCATTGTATATTCTTGCTTCCTTTGTTGAAGATTAATTGTAGGTGTCAATAATAACCTATAGTGGAAAAGAATATGAAAAATGGCCCATGTGTTTCATAAGAATATATACATGTAACTGAATCACTTTGCTGTACACCAGAAACTAACACAATGTTGTAAATCAACTATACTTTGATTTTTAGAAAGTTAAAAAATAAAACCATCCAAACAAACAAATAAATAAATTAAATGACGAGAGATTTCATTTTAGAAAAATGATATGGAAATTTAGTCAAATGAAATGTAGTATTTTTGTTAGGCCATCAACAAAGTATTGACTTCTTTATTTCTTAAAAGAAGGTAACAGATCTTATTGCTATTAGAAATATGGTCATTTTATGAAAACCTCTGACCTTCCTGAAGCTCTTGTTTTAAATTAATCTTGGGGAGAAGTCTGGTTGAAATGATGTTTAAAAAAAAAACTTTGATGGATAAAGTTTGATGGTCTTATAATCATTTTACAATGTTGTGTCAAATAATGATTATAAATCAATAAAAAAATGTTTAAAAAAAAGTTTGATGGTCTTCAGCAAAGAGACTTGAGGAATGATATCTAATCTTAATTGAGGAATAGTAACAAGAATATATATATATATATATATATATATATATATATATATATATATAGCCAAAAGTTGTGGAAGTTATTTAAAGTAGAAGGACCTAGTTGTCAAATGAGACTCTTAAAGCTAAATTAAATTGAGTCCTATTAAAGACTGAATTGCTTCTTCACCTCCCCAAATTTGTATGTTAAAGTCCCAACCCCTGGTATCTCAGAATGTGACCTTACTTGGAAATAGGGTCGTTGTAGATATAATTAGTTAATGTGAGGTTGTACTGGAATAGAGTAGGCCCCTGATCCAATACGATTAGTGTCCTTTTAAGAAGAGAAAACTTGGACACAGACACATACAGAGAGAACAGCATGTGAGCATGAAGACGGCCATCCACAAGCCAGGGAGAGAAGCCTGAAACAGGTCTTTCCCTTACAGCCTCCAGAAGGCACCAGCCCTGCCAACACCTTAATTCAGATACATAGCCTCTAGAATGGAGACACAATACATTTCTGTTGTTTGAGCCACTAGCCTGTGGCACTGTACTATAGCAATCCTAGCAAACAAGTCCCAATAGTTTATTTATTTAAAAATTTTAAACCGAGGGAAGTTCAGCATTTGAAATTTTGTCATTTCTTCAGTTAAGAGACTGGGAACCATTTTCTCTATAAGGAATTTTAGGATAAGTGGTTATGAGGTTTTTAGGTTCTTGATGACTTAGTTGCTAGTCCATCAATTTATACAGCTGGAGTTTATCATACACCTCTATCAGCAACTAGAGTTTCTGAAGTATGTATTTTCCTTCTGTTAATGGTAATAGTGGGGGAATCTTTCTAGTCTCCTGAGAGGGGTTTCCTAGATGTATTTTGTATATATAGATTTAGGCTTGTTACCTAAGATTCAAAGTTGGTCTGTTTATTATATATGAAATAGCACCCTGGAGAAATTAGAGATGAACAATTTTGATTATACGTCTCAATGGACTTGAAAAGAATGGCCCATGTGTTTCATAAGAGAAGCAAGTATCTTAGAAGGAGAAGATAATATGACTAAATTGGGTGTGATCTTGGGAAGTCCTTGGGGACCAAGAGGAACTGACTGTGCCCACAAGATAGTTTATAATAGATTCGGATTGAAGAAGCCCTGCAATAAATAATATTGAAAGTCATACAGCGAACACAGCTCCCCCTCTGTTGTTTTTCTAAACAGAGCTAAGTAAATATGCGAACAAAACAAAATGTTTAAGGCTTTCCGTGTTTAAGGCTGACTGTAAGTGGGCGCGTGAGGAACATGGACTCTGGAGTCAGTTTAAGTTAAGATTCTACCACTTAGAGTAAATTTTCTTCCTTCCCCTTGAGACTCCATTTTCCCATGTGTAAAATAGGTAATCTAATGTTTCTCTCATATTGGACGTTGTAATGATTAAATAAGGTGGAAACCCATGTAAAACAATGAGCAGAATGCCTGGTGTGTATTAAGTGCTAATAAACACTAGCTAATAACAGTAGCAAAGCCAGCAGGTACATGAGCACAGTGCATGTGACTCCCCACCCCCCGTTTAGTCCGTAAGAATGAATAATCTCTTCTGTAATGTTATAAATGGCAGTTTTTAAATCTGTGACTTTAAAATATATCATAACAAAACAAAATATCTGGAAGTGCCCTTAGGATCAGCTGGTGTTCTTTCATTTAAAGTGAGGAAAATAAGATCACGACAGTAGGATTGGGGAAGACCTCGGTTCTCGGTTTTCGTTTTTACAACACGTTGCCTCTAAATCACAGAACCACGTGTCCCTTTTCATTCTGAAGTAAACTTTTGCTTCAGTGGAAACTATTTTTTTCTCTCTACTTTTGTGTTTGAAATTTTTCTTAATAGTTTTTACATTATTTAAAAATGTGAACGAAATCAAAAACGATTGTTTAAAGCAAATTAGAATATGCTTGTTTATACATAGACTGTCTCTGCTAGGGAACAAAGAAATTGGCGGCAATGGTTGCTTCTGGAGAGGGGCACTGAGGCAGAAGCAGCATTGATAATAGTGGTATATGACAAGGTGTTCCTAAGACCTGTACATCTGGAGAATAGAGTTATCATGTCCAGTCCACTTAGAGGGTAAGAGAAGAGGATAAGGGAGAAAGTAGCAAAAAGTATGTGTCATTCTCGGAAGCTTGGGGACTATATAAATTCAGATAAATTTCTTAACCTAATTCTTCATCTGCCAATGGAGATGATAAGCCCTGTTCTTACCTGGTACATAGGGCGGACCAGGCAAAAAAGGAGATGGTGAGAATTAACTCAGTCTGGGCTCGGCCTTGTCCTAGAAGACAGGAGCTTAACTTTAGCTCTTGAGAGAGAGGGGAAGGAGACATACTTTAACAAGCACATGTTCACGCTGGGTTGGGTCGCTTGGCCAGCATTCATTCAAAAAAGAGAAAGGCATGGCTAACGACTATACTTTGGACGCTTTATATGATACTTTCTTTATTGCCTCTGTGTGTGTACATGTTTTACTGTGTAATGTTTGAGCCTCTTACTTTCTGTCTTAAAATTTGGAGGGCCAGTTACTTCTGACTTCCTCTTTTCTTAAATAGGGAGAAACATTTTGAAATAAAACAATCCGAATATGTTTTAATATTATTACTTATAAATTCAGAACATAGCATTCTTGAAGGCACAGGTAGTATCTGTTTAGTAACTATGATATCATATATTCAATTTAGATAAATTAATTCTTGTAATAGAAGTAGTAGTTAACCTCAGTGTATACTGCTACAAACATTAATTTTAAAAGATTGAGGTCACTTAGTTATAATGAAATCATAAATAATGTTTTCAGTATATGTATTTTAAGAAACAGAATCTTTACATGAGCTGTCTTCCCACAAGATACTTATTAATTACAAAAGGAAAAATAGTAACTTCTTAGTGGAGAAACCTGGTAGACACCACCCTAAGTGATCAGAGTTAATGCCACTAGTAATGGGACAAGTTGGTATTTTGGACCTCCTGATAAGATGTATTTGAAAGGACATAACATTACTTTTTTTGTATTCTTGCCAAAAATGCAGACTGAATCCAATCACAAGTTAGTAACACACAAACCGAAATTGGGGGACATTTTAAAACAAATGGCCTGTACTGTGCAAAAGTGCCAAGATCACGAAAGATAAACAAAAACTGAAAAAGTCCAGATTAAAGGAGAAGAAGTTATTACAAATTAAAAGAATTGTCATGAAGAAACATGATATTTATTAAGTGAAACTTATGGTCCTAGGTTGGATCTGGACCTCAAAAAATACTTTTTTTCATTAAAAAAAAAAGACATTAATGAGACAGTTGGAGAAATTTGAATAAAGTCTAGGTTAAATAATAGTACTATAGCAATGTTACTTTACTGGTTTTGATAATTGTACTATCTTTATGTAAGATAATATTCATATATTTAGAAAGCAAAGACTTAAGTATTTAGGATTAAAGGAGCAGTATGTCTGCCACTTTCAAATAAGTCAGAAAAACTAGATATAGAAATAATAATATAGAAAGAGGATGATAGACATGATTAAGTGTCCAAATTTGGGGAATATGGATAAAGGTTGTAGGAGAATTCTTTGTACT